CCCCAAACCCAAAAACCCAAAACCCTAAACCCTTCGAAGGAGCCTCAATCCCCAAGCACGCAAACCCCAGTTTGAAGCCCTTCAGCTCCAGCGAACCCAAAGGCTACTAAACTTGAAGCCCAGAACATGTCATAGTTTTTTGGTTCGTGTAGTACCCCTTGATTATATCTGTAGGGTTTAGGGTTTAGGGCTTAGGGTTCTGTAGTAAATACTATACTGTTTCTATACTCACTGTATGAAAAAACATGATATGCCAAGTACTAGAACCCCACCCCCTAGTGGCTTTGCAGGAGGCGGGCCCTGCCATGGATACCTGCCTCAACTACCCTGCCCTCCCAGTCGGCCAGAGCTCTTTGTACTTTAGGGTGTAGGGTTTAGCGTTTGTCTGAACTGAAATGATCCTGTAAGCCCTCCCTTAAAGACTGTAGTAGCCCAAAATTACGAACCATTTCTCAGGACAAGACGAAACCCAGTAAACACTTTTTTCGAGGCTCCGGCCTTATAGATGCCCTCCTCGCGGCAAAGAGGGCTTTGCTGCTTGCCGGCTTTCGGATTTACCGCTTCAGGATTTACGGTTCAGGGTTTAGGGGTTAGGGATTCAGGCTTTGGGTTTAGGGTTTACGGTTGGGTGGTTGTCAAAATTAGGGTCCCCTTTGGGTACCCTAAATAATAAGTGCCAAATTATAATAAGGACCCAAAAAGGGACCATAATTTTGACAACTACCCGGTTGGGGGACGTCACCAGCATGAACGCCATTGGCATCACCATGGTCATGAGGGCTCAACCCAGACCCCCAAAAGGATCTAAAAAATAGATCCCCTAAGGGGGTTCCTATAAAGTACCCTTTAGTAGTTATGGTCCCTAATTAGGGGATGTGTTTTTTAGATCCTTTTGGGGGTCTGGGAAGCAAGTCAAAGATGGCAACACTTGCATCGCGAGCTGCCGTTCGCAGCTGCAGATTGAGGTGCCGGTGATTTGGATCCAGGTTTAGCGCCTAAGCGCAACACCCTAAACCCTAAACCCAAACCCAAAGCCTCTGAAACCCCTCAACCGTTCGGGCCCTTTTCTGCCGGATCAGCAAGCACCTCCCTAATGTGCAGCTGCTTGTCCACGCGAACGAGGCAGCATTTTGTAAGGGTCATGCCAGTCGATATCTCCACCACGCGCTCCTCACCCTGCAAGAATGCAGCGGTAGCGTCCAGAATCCTTTGCGAAACCTTCAAGAGCTCCGCTGCCTCCAAAGGCACATCGGAATCATAGCACGACGCAGACTCAAGCACTGCTTGCAAGATTCGGTCCTGAAATGTGGTGATACCAATCACCCGTGACCACAGATCATAGGCCACAAGGTCTTCGTTTGGTTGTGGTGCGACGACCCGATCCATCAGGGGCACTTCTGCGTCGTATTCAATCGGGATAACTCGCTTCCCTGCGAGATTCAATCGGCTGTCCTTCTGCTCTGATGCTGCCACTGCCACCAATCCTGCAATGTGCTTCGAACCCGTTTTTTGTGTTGCCTCACACAACTTCATGGATTCATGAGAAGAGAGACAGACTACCAAACATCTACTCAAGAGCCTAGAATCGCGTATCACCACGAACAAGGAGGCTATGCAGCATCACCCACTGCTTCTCACTCCAAGGGAACAGAGCCATGGGAGTCAAAGGCCAATGCTCCGGTAAGAGTCGAGTGCATGGCCGTGCCCAGAAGGCACCGAACACCGGCATCAGCGTGATCACCTAGGGCTTCTACGGTCCAATGTCCAAGTGTCTTAGGCTTGGGGTTTAGGCGGCTTAGGGCTTGTGATTCAAATCGAGAAAGCCTGATTCCTGTTGGTGTTCTCAATACGGGTCATACTTTCAGAACCCCTGCGCTCCTGTTTTAGGAAGTGCGCTGTCCGGGGTTTAGGGTTTAGGCTGAACATCCACAGAAGGGCCGGGACTTCAACCTACGTTTTCAGGTTATGTGGCGGAGGGCTTCGAAAACGAAGGATAGTGCCGCAAACCCGTGTGGAAGATTGCTCGCTCCATGAATCCCCAAACCCTAAACCCCCCAACTCTAACCTCCCCTGCACCCCCAACCCCCCAAAGCCCCAAAACTCCAACCACCCCCCCCACCTAAATTCTAAACCCCTCAACCCCCAACCCCGAAACCCGTAAACGACTCTAGTCTTAACCCTAAACAATCCAAAAAGCTCCAAACCCAGTCTGTCTGAGTCACTATCGGAAGCCAGAACCTCCACGAAGCGAGCACACCTGTGATGGAACTTGTCGTGGAAGACACTGCGAAGGACAAGCCATAAACATAGCCTGGGTGATACTTTTAAGTCTGGAGCTTAGAGTTTAAGGGTTTAGGGGCTGTGTACTTTGAGGGTAATCCGGGAGTATTGATGGAAAAGGTACCTCGGTAGGACCATAAAGGAAATTAAAACGTGTCCCAAAGCTCCACCTAGTAGCTGGCGGCGCAGGGAAGGAAGAAGGCACCGATGGCACCCGATTGCAAGGCACCGATTGCCAGGTGGAGAAAGATCCTCGATGGCTCCGGAGAAACTAAACATGCTCTGTTTCTCCGACCAGCTCGTTGCAATGAAGAATTACCGAACACCACAAGGAGTTCTGAAGATAGCACTAAGCAGCATGCCACCGCCTACGAAAAGCCGGTAGCTGGCTTCGGCATTGGGAGACCCTGCCGTTAGCGCGGGAACCACCAAGCACAATGGTGCTAGAAAGCACTCGAAAGCCAGCGTCGCGAAAGCACAAGAGTTCAGTGCCCATCGTTTCCTGGGTTAGGTCTGCGTTCGTGAGTGTCATCCACCCAACTTAACGGCACTGTGCGCAAGTCTACGGGCTTTTGTGCATTAAACAACCATACCGACTTGCGCCATAGTGTATTGCGATGATGATCATCATTTCGATGCTGATGATGACCATGAGGATGAGGATGAGGAAGAGGATGAGGATGCGGATGTGAATGAGGATGAGGATGATGATGATGATGATGATGATGATGACGACGATGACGATGACGATGACGATGACGATGGCGATGATGATGATGATGATGATGATGATGATGATGATGATGGCGATGATGAAGATGACGATGATGATGGTGATGATGGTGATGATGATGATGATGATGATGATGATAATGATGATGGTGATGGTAATGCTGGTGGCGACGATGATGATAATAATAATAATGATGATGATGACAGTGATGTTTACGGTGATGGTTATGGTGCTGGTGCCGGTGCCGGTGCTGGTGCTGGTGCTGCTGCTGGTGCTGCTGGTGCTGGTGGCTCTGGCGCTGGCGCTGGCGCTGGCGCTGGCGCTGGCGCTGGCGCTGGCGCTGGGGCTGGTGCTGGTGCTGGTGCTGGTGCTGCTGGTGCTGCTGGTGCTGCTGGTGCTGCTGGTGCTGCTGGTGCTGCTGGT